GATAGATAGATAGATAGATAGATAGATAGATAGATAGATAGATAGATAGATAGATAAAATAGATAGAATTCTTAATTGGCCAAATGTGATTGGACACACAAGTAATTTGTCTTGGTGCAAATACTCTCACTATACATAAAAGAAAAAATACATTCATCAAGAATCATAAGGTACAACACTTAGTGATAGTCCTATGGTACAATAAGCAATCAAATCATACTAGGAAACAGTTAATATAAAATGTTAGGATACAAGTGACAAAGTTAGTCATACAGGCCCAAGTGGGAGGGGATGGGTGATAAGGAGTGATGAGAAGGTTAATAGTAATAGTAGTGCAGACTTAGTAAATAGTTGGACAGTGTTGAAGGAATTATTTGTTTAGCAGAGTGATGGCATTCGAGGGAAAAACTGTCCTTGTGTCTAGTTCTCATATGCAGTGCTCTATAGTGTCGTTTTGAGGGTAGGAGATGAAACAGTGTATGTCCAAGATGTGTAGGTCTGCTCTGTTATATAGTATAGAAGTGAGTGGGTTAAGAGAAATGCAAAAGTAAATTGGGCATAGCAGGACTGAGTTTTTAAGAAGTGTGCAAATGGTAAAACAAAAAAGAAAAGAGGTCAAATGCACAGTACTGCAGTTGGGATTTCCTGCAGGTTTGCATCCCTGTCCAGCCAGGGTCAACCAGATGCTGCCACCTGCTGTGATACCATCATTTCTAAAATAACTGATGGGCATCTTCCACAGCAGTCTCAGTTGAATTACCTGTTATAATACAAAGATTGGGGAGGTGGGAATTAAGGCTCAAGCCCTTTTTTCACCTTTATAGCTACTCATTAAAGGCCTTTTCAGCTCACACAGGCCAAAGCATCTGTAGCAAAATACAAGTCATAAACCATACATGCGTTTTATCTGCAAACAAAGGCGAACGTCCGTTTAAACAGGGGTCCCCAAACTTGGCAACTTTAAGACTTGTGGACTTCAACTCCCAGAATTCCTGAGCTAACATAACTGGAGGAAGAATTCTGGGAGTTGAAGTCCACAAGTCTTAAAGTTGCCAAGTTTGGGGACCTCTAGTTTAAAGAGAGCATTTATGGATATGCAGTACTTCAAAGGCCGGAGCCTCTATTGTGTTCAGAGGTGGGAGACGTCTGCTTAAGCGTCCATCCAGTCCCTCCTTACCTGCCTTCGGAGAGATTCTCCTCCCTCGCCCAATGACTGGAACCCAGAATGCCAGGGCTATCTCGCTCCTTCGCCAACCCCTCCGCTTCAGGAGGACTTTCCAGCCATGGGCCGCTCTCCAGTACCGTACCTTTTCTTTCCTCCTCTTTGGGTCTCCGCCTCCTCCTTGCCTTCCAGCAGGCCCCCTTTCCATCCCAGCCAAGCAGAAGAGCGGAAAGCAGCCGAGGCATCTCTCCGTCTCTGTCTCTCTCTCTCCGCCCGCCCCCTTCCTTCCAGCTACGTTGGCAGCTTTTCTTCTGGATTTCATTCCCGCGAATCCCGCGGCGTCCCTTCTTTGCCTCGGCCATGCTCTCCTTCTCTCTCCTCCTCCTCCTCTTCGCTGGAAGCTGCGGCTGCTTCTCTTCAGGGTCGAGCCACGTAGCCCCTTTCGACTCGCTCTACGCTGACGGGGTGCGGGCTTACTTCGCCCAGGACTGGCCTCGGGCCTCCGAGCTGCTCCAACGCTCTCTCCACAGCTATTCGCAGCTGCAGGAGGCGCGCCGAAAGTGCCGAAGCGGATGCCAGAGGGAAGCCTGTTTTGGGAGCCAGTCGCCTTTGCAGCCGTGGGAGACCAGTTTCTTTGACCGGGTGCTGCAGCGAGCAGAATGCCTGGAGGAATGTCTGGGACGGAGTCTGGGCGGGCAGCCGTCCCGCTACCGAGCCAGCCGCGTCATACAACGGGACTTTGAAGAGAGGGAGCCCTACAATTACTTACAAGTTGCCTACTTCAAGGTGAGCGGCGGAGAGGGCGGGACTCTCTGTATACTGCAGCTGCTGATGTGGCTGCCCGTCCTCGGCCACCCTCTTCCACGCCCGCGAGAAGAGCAGCGCAACAGTTACCCCCAAACCGTCCAACCCTCACTAGCGTATTAGCATGCATCGAATACCTTCCTAAACTCCAGGAAGCTCTTAAAATTTTCCTGCAGAGACAGACTCCCGTGGCTTTGAATTTCAACTAGTCTCTTATCCACCCAGTTTTTAAATACATTCTTTGCATTAATATTGTGTTTCTGTTCTTCGATGCATTCTTAGAGATGGGTTGTGAGGGACAGGTTTAAAGTACTGAAGTCGTCTGTTGGGTATAAGTAACCTCTGTTGAAGACTCGAGAGAGATGAGGGGGGGAGACATTAATCTCAGCCCTCCCACGCAACTTTATTTTCACCGCATCTGTATTTTTGTTGCTTTTTCTTTTTTCATTGAAACCAGTAGTCCGGTCACTGAGTTCCTTTGAAAAAACTTGAGCAAACTCCTGACATCAGATTTTAATTATTTTGTACTGCTGTCTTGCATGAAATGTTGATCCATCTGTTGATTTTGAATGAATGAATGAATGCTTTATTGGCCAAGTGTGATTAGACACCCAAGGAATTTCTCTTGATGCATATGCTCTCAGTGTACATAAAGAAAAGATACATTCGTCATGTAAATGTTGGGCTTGGGCTGCCTTTTAAAAAGCACTGGTTGCTGGCCATTTCAAAACAAAATAATTAATCTCACAGGACCCTAATTTAGAGTTTGTGAGATAATGTGGAATGAACAATAATTTGATAGCCAACGAATGAGCAAAAAAATGTTGGTTTAGCATTGCTGTTGCTACTGATGTTATATTTATAGTGCTTTTTTGTTTAGTCTGTGATGACAAAATAGTTGGGTGGTGTAATGATGTTAATTTGTGAGAAAACACTATATTCCTCAATCTGTAAAATGTCTCCAGCTGACCTGCTGTTGGCATTCTAGTTGGGGACCATGTTAGCAAAGCTGATCCTACAGGGTGAAAGGTTGGAGATCTTGAATTCCTTTTCACTTTGGGTTTACACATCATAACTTCATTTTTTTGCCTTGCCCTTGAAGTTTATTAGACCTTCTTTCCTTCCAGGGGTTGGGAAGGATCAGTTAGCATCCATTGCTATCTAAGACTGAGAGGGCTTCCAACAGTCAGTGTTGGGGTTGTTTTTTTTTTTTTTTTTGACAAATTAAAAGGAAGAAAAAAAGAAGAAAGATAATTTAAACACACAGAATGTAAAAATATGATTCTAAATGTAACACTGTCTAGATTGTAGCTGTTTCTATTTAAATAACCTGATTTCCAGAATAATAGTCCTCAACTTGATTTGTTTAATTGTGGTTGTGGTTGTTGTTATTGTTGAGCTTTTTGTAGCTAGTTTATTTTTTTAATCGGTAGCTGAGAAGACTCCTCTCCATTTCTCAAGTTTGAGGTGACTCCTTATTCCTCTGTTTCCTTAGAGTTCTCCATCTAGTTTTTAAAAGAGCATTTTTCTCACCCTAAGTGAGAGTGGCTATGATGATTAGGCTTTATAATTCTAATAAAATAAATAAAACTGCCAGCTGTACTTGTCAGAAAAGTATTAAAGTGTTAATGTGAATTCAACCCAGATGTCACATAGCTGTCAATGCATGTGGGATGAGGTTTCCTGCAGATTGACTACGCAGAATAAGGATTTTAAAAATCAGATGAGATGGTATATTATAGTTTCGTGTGTGTGTGCGTGCGTGTGTGCCTGTATGTCTGTGTGTCTGCTAATTACAATTAGCATGTGAATTATGATACAATTATGATACAATTATGATATAATAAACATTATTTCACAGATATTTTAGTCAATAGTGCTATCCAGGAATAAATGGATCCAACCAGAGGGGTTACTGTATTCCTTATTAACGTCCCTGCTCCCAAACTGAGATGATTCCCTTGTGTTCTTCATTCAATCAAAAATGATTTTATTTTCCATTTTCTACAGTTAAAAAAACTGGATGAAGCTGTCTCTTCGGCTCACACATTCTTTGTAGCCAATCCACGGCATCTACAAATGCGTGAGGATATGGAGAAATACCAGCGTATGGCAGGGGTAAAATCTGAAAGCTTTCGGGATCTGGAGGCTCAACCACATTGGGTGAGATATTTTTGGAAAACTGGATGTTATAGAACAGATCAGAAGGGTTGCTGTGTAGAGATTGGGAGTCATGATTCTAAAGGCCTAAGCATATGTTGACTCTCCTAGGTAATTGTGCTGGTTAGTCCTTGCTTTCTAAGGGGTAAGAAAACATTGTCCTCTTGTGTTTTTCTCATATTTTTTTCTGCAATTTCTCAGAACAGAACTGCAGCATAACATTTCCTCTGTAAATTTAAATAAGCAGAACAATAGAAATTAGGAAAACTTGCTGATATGTAAAGCAAGGTTTAAATGTGCTATATTGTTACTACTTGTTTCTTTCCAGTAGGCTTCATTGTGGTCTCCTTTTTTTAAAATTGAAAATTTGCCTTAACCTTCTTTAAACTATTATTATTATGCTTCTGCAATAGTCACAAATGGAACAATTATTTAACAGAAATCATACAACTGTTTTTTGTAAAAAAAGAAACTGCTTTTTTATGTTGAATGGTTATCGATCTCTAGAAGTGATGTTTTTGTTTGTATCCGATTTTTCTCTTTTAAAAAACTTTTAAAATGTGTTTTAAATTATTGTTGTAATTATAGAGCAGGATTTAAATTAAGCAAATGCTTATAAGGGAAATCCCCCCCAAATTTTTTTGAAAATGATCTGAAAATTTTTGGAGATAATACAGTATGTTCTGCTGAACCACCACAGCAGTAGGCAAAACAGAACAGTCATGAGTGTGGGGATACTTCAAAGGTCATAAGGGCAAGGATCAGTTGTAAGTCGTTTTTTCAATGCTGCGGTAACTTCAAATGATCGCTAAAGGATTGGTTGTAAGTTGAGGACTACTTGTACTCTTGAATACATAATTGTACTCTTCTCTGGGTACTGTAGTCACCTCCTGAACAATCCCTAGGCTTTAACAAAAGATGGCTTGGTTCTCTCTGACTCTACAGGTAGCTTATGAAGCTGGGATGCAGCATTATGGTATGGATAACTACCAGCAGGCAGCAGCAAAACTAGAAGAATCGCTCAGGGAGGGACTGCTGGCGCTGGAGAATTGCAGAGCTCTTTGTGAAGGGCCTCGCGAAGATGAGGACAACAAGGATGAGACACAACTAGGCCTCTATGAAAGCATTGCGGGTATCATCAAAGGTTTAGTAAAATATGATGAATTGTGTGAGTTGGCGAGTACATGAAAACCATAAGGCACTGTCTGAAAGAAACAGCCTTTTTAAAAGGAGATTTGCAGATCTTCAAAGGAATATGTCGCTTTGACAAAAGATTGAGCAAAATATCCTTTTGAAGCTGTTTTGCAAAGCAACAAAGCTTCCGAGGCTTTCTTTTCAGGAATAACCAAAGAGAACTGAGTATTGGAACTACTGTATGAAGCTTTGAGGTGATGTAAAATACTTCACTGAGGAAATCCTGTAGCCTGTTTATCTTAGTGAGGAAAATGATTCACTGCATAACACAGCATACGTGAGCATGACATGGGAGATCAATGAAAAAGGTGTTTTTTAAAAAAATTAGAAGCATTTAGATGAGGTATAGCTCTTAATCAGTGAAATTTTACAGTTACTTTTTAGAAGAAATCGTTTGAATGAGTAAATATTAAGGGTAGCAATGGATCTTGTTGTGGACGTATTAAAACTGATTAGAAAGAGTGTCCCTGTAGAGATACAATTGCCATTTTTTCATGTTCTCACAATAGTTATAATAGCTTTTGCAAAAAAAATAGGGAAGGGGAGAATCCTGAAATTTGGAATCAGATATGGGAGAAAATTAAGTTATTGGCTACTTTAAAAAAAAAACATTGAAAAATTGGGAGTCTGTGCTGAAATTTACAGGGATGTCTATGACCATGTTCTCAATATTTAATGTGCCAATCTCTCCCACCCCCAAAAGTTCAGAAATATCAGGAAGGATTGATAGCTTGATTAGATTTGTAAGACTGCCAGAACATCTCATTACTAGTTTCCTTCATCCTCCAAATGTTGCATCCCTGAACAATCTTACAAATTAGAAATTCTTTCAGTTTTAAAAGGGGCCAATGAGAAGGGAGGCATACATTCAAATGAATGTATGGCTCCAGGCTATCAGGATTTTAAAAGGCATTTTGAGATGAGGAAATCAAATAAAAGATCTCAGAATAAAATGCAGTAAATTTGGAAGATTTTCTAATTTGTACCAATAACAATAATAAAAAAGGACTCCACTCTCCTAGGGAAAATGAGGAGATGGTTATTAGTCAATATCAGAGCCCAGCACAAAATCCTTTCATACAAAAATTCTGGTCTGACTGGATGAAAAACATGGTTGTAAATGCTACAATTGAAAAGTGATATCCAGCTAACTTCTAACTGAATGAATGAATGAATGAATGAATGAATGAATGAATGAATTCTTTATTGGCCAGGTGTGATTAGACACACAAGAAATTTGTCTTGGTGCATACGCTCTCAGTGTACAGTACATAAAGAGAAAAGATACATTCATCAAGAATCATAAGGTACAACACTTAATGATAGTCATAGGGTACAAATAAGCAATCAAATCATACTGGGAAACAGTCAATATAAATCATAAGGATACAAGCAACAAAGTTACAGCCAAACAGTTATAAATGGGAGGGGATGGGTGATAGGAACGATGAGAGGATTGATAGTAATATTAATGCAGACTTATTTCAGGCATTGGGTATGTTTCCTTGGGGATCTTTTCAGTCTCCAATCTCTGATCCACACTTTCTTGTCTTTTTCTAGTTTGCATGACATAGAAGTCTTGCTTGGCCTGCTAAAATTGAGGCCATTTTTCTCCAATCTTTGCTCACCTAAGTCTTTTAAAATAATAATAATAAACAACATAGCATTCTGCACTTAACTTGTATAGGCAATCAGCACTGCATAAGTTGTCATACTGACACAAGCCAAAACAATATAGATAGGCCAACAAGAGTTAGATTTTGAAATAAATGTCACATTCAAACTACATATTTTTAATTTAACATGCATTACTTGAATGGTGAAATAAGAAACACAGAAAATGTAGGAATCTTGCAATACTTGTTCCAGCTGTTTCTTGTCGTGATGCCAAAGGCCCTTGTGTTTCTCTCTACTTTCCAGCTCATTATGTCCAGGTCTTGAAATGCAGGCAGCAGTGTGTCCTTGATATTGCCACCAAGCCAGGCAGGGTGTCTTCCACGGAAGATTTCATCCCATCTCATTTTGATTTATTGCAATTTGCCTATGACAGAGGTAAGCAAGAAATGAACAGCTGAGAAGTTCATCTAAGACTCTAGAGTCAAGCTTTGCCAGAATGGCAGATGGAACAAACATGACGATGAAGATCACTTTCTTTCTTTTAGTTGGAAATCGGACTGTTGCTGCTGAATGTGCAGCTACCTTCCTGCTGTTCTATCCATCAGATGAAAAAATGCTGGAGAGGTTGAAAGAATACCAAGCAGACCTGGGAAAAGAAGTAGCTATTCCAGCCAGAGAGGTAGCCAGCAGCATTTCTCTTATCTGAAATCTTTTCTCAGTTTTCTTTTGACAAATTAATAAAGTTTTAGTGATAGCATCATAGAGTTGGAAGGGGCCTTGGAGGTTCCCAATAGACATTCCCTGACAGATGACTATCTAGCCTTTGTTTGAAGTTTTTTTTTTACAAAGGAGAACTTGCCACTTCATGTGGTAACCTGTTCCACTGCTGACAGTCCATCAGTTTCTCCTGATGTCTAGTTGGCACCTTATAATTTTCATTCATTGGTTCTGGTCCAGCCCTCTGGGCAATACAGAATAGGTCCAACCATGCTCTCATCTGTGTGATAACCCTTCTGACTTATCGTCCCTTAAATATTTTTCTATAGATGAAATGTACTCAAATCCTTTAGTTCTTCATAGAGTTTGGTTTCCAGACTATTCACCATCTTGACAGTCATACTCCAAACTTATTTTGATTTGTCACTATCCTTTTTGAATTGTGGGGCCCAGAACTAGATAGAGCTTTCTGAAGGGAGACTTACCAAGGTGCCATAGAGTGAAACAATTGCTTCCCATCATCTGGACTCTGTGCTACTGTTAATAAATCCCAAAGTAGCATTTGCCTTTTAGTAGCTGCACCATATTTAATATGTGTTCAACAGGGACATCCAGGTCACTTGCACAAATACTATTGCTAATCAAATTTTCTTCCACTCTATAGTGCTTTTCATTTTTCTTACCAGGATACAGAACCTTATATGTCTCCCTACTAAATTCAATCCTATTCATTTCAACCCACTCTTTAAGCCCGTCTAGATCTATTAACATCTTCACTCTTTCATCTAAAATATTAATCATCTTTCCCATCTGCATACTTTGTGTCCTGTCAGTTTCTCATCCAAGTCTTTAATAAAAAATATTGAACACTACAAGATTGGACCCTGTGGCACTCCTCTCCATATTTCCTTCTATAAATTGAAGGAAGCCACTAATAGGTTCTCACTGGATGCAGTCATTCAACTATGAATCCATCTAGCAGTAGCAGTAGATGTAGTCTTTGCTATAACCATGTATTAATATATAAATTAGACAATAATATGGTTAGAATTTTATCCACCAACTCTTATTCATTGCTCTCTGCGTCAATAGTAGAGCTATTCTTTCATAATCCAGGTGGGTTTATGTAGATGCCTTAAAGCATTATCTTCCTATTGCCATAGGGAATACTTTGAGATCAATTACTCTAAAACAAAGGTTTTAATATTCTTCAGTGTTTCAAGCATTTAATTAAGTGAACGATTAATGATAGATCTACGGTATTGAACAAATCATGGCTTTTAAATACCTAGGCATCCACTTTCAATCATCTACTTGCTGGATCAATAAAGCAAAGAACCTTTTCATATGAGCCCCCAAAGCATCCTTTGCAATTATTAAATATACATGTCAGCATAGTAAAAACTACATTCAAGACATTCAGTTATGTATTTATAAGGATGCTTCTACAGTAGGTTAGAAGCTATCCAATACCAATTTTGAAAGCTATACCCCAGGATCCTTTCTTTTATTTTGTTTCTTTCCCAGCATTAGCTTACAAATTGACAAATTGCCTATTAGAGCAAAAACAGGTAGATATATAATATCCTCTATGAAAATCACAGTATGTTTATTGGTAGATATAGAAGTTGAATCTGTTCCATATGCACTGCTACACTTTAGAATAAATGAACAATAGAACTCATGACACCAATCATTAGAAATCTTAATTGCTCCTCTGAGCAGAAGCTGATCTTTCTACCCCAAATGTTAACTAAATAACATTTAGTTACTTCTAATAAGGTTGCTGATTTTTTAACAAATCGTAGTTTACAAAGATCATCCTTTACATTATTACTTTCTGTATAAGTCCTGTTATACAGAATATATAATGTTTCATGTGTTATAATATTGTCTACTCTTAAATATTGGTCTGGGACTGCAATAAGGTCTTCACAGTGAATGGCAAGAAATTAAGATAGTCCCCAATGAATGAATTGGTAAAGCAAAGAGAGGATTGGATAGGCACCAAATTAAAGTGTCTCCACTTCATTCTTAGCCCATCACCCATAATCCCTCTGGCAAGGAATCTGTGTATCCTTACTTTCTCTTTCTTCTTTTTCTGATGCTCACGCAATTTGATGACCATGAATCAACTAAGTTTTGTTTATCTGGCAAGCAGCTGCTTTTGCTTGGGAAGAAAGTGATCTCTTACTTGTTTCAATCTATTGCAGCCCACCTCTTTGATTCCCTGAGGTGTAAAACCTAGTGTTAGTTTAGGGAACTGAATTTTCAGAAGTCTAGGATGAAAGTTATGGATAATTTCTCTCTCTTGTCCTCTAGAAGTTCTATCACTGCTGTTTGGCTGTGATAATATCACAGAATACAGTCGGAGACAGTGAACAATATGGAAGAGCTTTATTATTAAGCTTTTGCAAAAGGGAATTCTGCTCATGGCAGAAGACATTATCCCCAGGAGGACTGGGGTTTATATACAGGTTCAAATATACAGTCTCTGCCCCTTTCCTGGGTTCACAATCTATCCAACTACGTTATCTCCCTACGCCACACCCATACTATTGTTGCGTAACATCTGTTTCCCTGTCTTTGGAAACTACTCTTGTTCTCATGGCTTCTCTTCCTGTTATGTCCATCTAAACACAATGGATCATTAGCAGGTTTCTGTTGTGTCAGGGTGACCCAGCATCTCTTACATTAATTCTCAAGCCAAAATTTCAAACCCCCACTCTAAGCCAAGGACATGACATTTTACTCTTAAAACACAAGTTACAAAACATAATATGTTTATTAGATACAGTTATATAATTGTCCAGTAATCATTTAAAAGGTCACATATTGGATAAATATGGAATCTCTTCTGTTCTTCATTTTCTCAGGTGTAACTGACAATATATATAATTGCCACATATAACATTGCCCCAAGTTGCTGTTGACCAGCAGCTTCCCTTCAGGGGCAAGTAACAACTGCAAGGATGGTTGCAGCATGGGGTGGCATTAATCCCTGTCTCTGCCATGACTAGGACCACAAGACCGAAATGTGAAGCTCATTTTGACTATAACACCTAATTTGACCTGAAGGCTGGATTGGTTGCCTGCAGCAGAGATGGTTGTGTGTATTTTGTGTCTTGTTTTCTTGAACAAGAAACACTCAAATCATTTATGATTTTTGTACATTATTTTATATTATCATGTTGTAACATCTGCTTTCAATCCACAGAACATCCGCCGTTATGTGCAAAGATCCTGTATGGAAAAGAAACTGATCTATTATGCAGTACAGCACCTTGATGAAACTTTTAAGGACCCAGTAAGTGGTTATCTCTCTTTGAAGGTAGATTCTTCATGGCCTCCTTGCAGCAAATCTATTTATTGATCTTATCTATCAAATACTGCTTGATGAAATAGCATATAGGATCCCTTTTCTGTCCTCCTTTTCTGATGCCTGAAATGAACTGAACGAAATTATGCTTTAAGGACATATGTTCATTTATTATAAGCCTTTTTCAGCCAACATCATCTAAGGCTATTAGGGCAATATGCAAGAAGCATAACACCCCAAATATGCTATGTTACAACACAATAAAATTCTAAAACAATACCAAACTAAAATAAATCAGAAGAATGCTAATCATATACCAAAGTAAACATAAAGCAGCATAGAATTTTAAAATATATGTCAAATAAAGGTCTTTAAAATGATAGCATTTTAATGCTGGCCAAGTATCTATGGAAAAATTGTTTCAAAGGTGGGGTGCTACCACAGTAAAGGTGCTAATTATAGATGGAAGTTTTTCTAAAAAGCTGTTACTGATTGTGTGGGAAGGAGCACACTGCTTGTAGAACTACAGGAAACAGGACAGATGATTTTTTTCTCTCAGTCTGCTGAAGTTTCACAAATATTTCTGCCGTGTGGAATAGCCAGAAAGTAGGACACATGTGCCTGCTGTGGTGAGGAAGTGTCTGCTCTAATGCAGTCCTGTGAAAAAAGAAAATGGGCCAATAAACTTAATTTTGTAGTGCTAAGTCCTGGATGTGTTTCTTTAGGATTTATGGACTCCTGAGGAACTGATCCCTGAAAGCATGAAGGAGAAACACAGGTAAATTTCAGAGCAGAAACATAATATTATGGATGCAATTCTGGGACATCTTAATGAAAGGCAATGATTCAGAGTTTTTTTTAAAGAATCCTTAAATGTAACAGAATAGAAATTAGAACAGATTTGATTTATTGCTGAGCTATTTAATTAAAGAGGCAGTCTCATACCCTATGGTTATGGCCTTTTCTATATTTGTTTATTAATCCCAAGAGAAGATCAGGAGAAACGAAGTTTGAAGGCCTCACATATTCAACAATGGGGTCAAAATGGTGAGTACCAGAAAAATAATTGATAAATGGAAAGAAAGATTATCATGTTTCTTCTTCTTATCATAATGAGGGAAGAGGGAGAATCCAGCAGGATGACTCCACAGTTTCTCCTAAAGATGAGATGGAGTAAGTCTCCTTCCCAGTACTGAAGTTCACCTGCTGAAGCCTGGAATTCTTTGGGATTCCAGTTTACTAGCTGCCACGGGGACCCAAAGGGATGGTAAAGCGATAGAACTTATCTCAGCACCAAAGATGTATTCAGAGTACCTGTTGGGCAGAGAGGCATATCAACAATAGGATGGCCACAGCTTCTCCTCCACAGAGAACTGTCCTCAGTTTGGATGTCAACCAATAAATCCTAGTTCAAATAAAATATGGTTTTCTCCACCTTATTACCCTTCAGATATGTTGATATACGACTTCCATCATGCTGATTAAGGATGGTGGGTGCTATATTTCACCATATTTGGAAGTATTGGTTTGGGTAGGCAGAAAGGAGAAAATAACTTTGAAATTGGACAACAGCTGGATATCACCGGGTCACAGTCTACCTCACTATGATAAGATGCATTATATTTCTGTTTAAATTAATACAGTGATTCCTAAATGTGCATTTATTCAAAAGATTCATTGGTCAACTCTTTATGTGTTAGTTTGTGCTGTGTGTGTTTTTGTATGTGTGTGACACAGACAGAAAGGCAGATAGACAAAAAGACCAGGGAGGACAGAAAAACAGAGACAGAGATGGATTCTCTATTTGACTATAGATAGTCCTTGATTTATGACTGTACTGGTGCATGAGTCAAGGGTGATGAGTGCTGTAGGGACCTTTACCTCAGTTTTTCCAACACTTTGGAATTCTATCACAAATGAGACTGTAGCAGCTATGATTTTAAAAATATATAATCTAACTATTTTGAAATTTCAACGGTTGCTAAGTGGCTCTGGATACTAGCTGCTGCTAATTCTATTAAATGGATATCTGTTTTTAATTTAATTCAGATATTACTTTTTATTTTTCATTGGAAATCATGTTGAGCCTTGAAGAGGCAACATTTTAAATGAATAATGCAGCATAATAATAAGACCATGCATATCAAGGTACCTGTGATAACAGTTGAGTCAGTAACACAGATATATGAGCCTCTGTGGCGCAGTGGTTAGACTGCAGTACTGCAAGCTACTTCTGCAGCCAGCTGCCTACAATTTGGCAGTTCAAATCCCACCAGGCTCAAGATTGACTCAGCCTTCCATCCTTCCGAGGTGGGTAAAATGAGGACACAAATTGTTGGGGGCAATACGCTGAGCTGACTCTGTAAACCACTTAGAGAGGGCTGTAAAGCACTGTGAAGTCTAAGTGCTACATGATCAAAACTCAGAGCCTTGGCAACTGACTCCTATTTAATGACTTTTGCAGTGTCCCGGGGTCATGTGATCACCTTTTGCGACCTTCTGACCAGCAAAGTTATTGGGGGAGATTAACAACCATGTTACTAACTTAGCAACTGCAGTGGTTCACTTCACAATTGTGGCACAAAAGTTTGTAAAACGGGGCAAAATTCACTTAACAAAACTTAACTTATCAATAAAAATGTTGGGCTCCATGGTGATCATAGGTTGAGGCCTACAGGTATATTTCTTCTTTTGCACTCATGGATGAACAGTAATGTTTGATTGCATCTCTATATACACTTCTGCCCTGCTTATTTTTTTCCAGAACAGCTACCTTTTGAGGACCTCACCATCACCATGGATTCTCACCAACTCAATGGTACCCAGAGGGTGGTCTTTGACAGAGTCCTGACTGAGTCAGAATGCAAAGACATCCTCCGTCTGTCCAAGGTGAGGATAGGAGCCACCAAAATGCCCTGCGTGATCAGGTCTGACAGAAAAAGAAGGTTTTCACTGGTGAAGGGCAATCCCAGGTCTCTCATAAGTTTGTGCGTGTTTCAGGCAGCTGGAGGAACAGGAGATGGCTATCGTGGCAGACGCTCCCCTCATACTCCACACGAGCGATTTGAAGGCTTAACAGTGACAAAAGCTTTGCAGGTAAAAGCCTTAGGGATTCTAGAATGAACTAAGTTTCTCGCCCTGGAGTAGGGGTTTCCAAACTTGGCAACTTTAATCCTGGCAAAGGATTAAAGGCAAAGGCTGGCAAAGCTGTCTGGGGAATTCTGGGAGTTGAACTCTTCCAGGATTAAAGTTGCCAAGGTTGGAGACCCTTGCCCTGGAGGATTTTTCCCCACCCCCACTTTAGTTTCATAGACTCTAGATATAAATATACATTACAAAGTTAATATTCAAGAAGGGTGGGGACAAATGCACATCTTCCTCTTCTTTTCCTAAAATTTAAACTATATGTATTATGCAAATAAATGTGAAAAGATTTCCAGTTGCTATTTTTTGGGGGAAAGGATAGTACAAGTCTCAACTGAGAATTAAACAAATGCTTTAACCTTTCCTTCTTTCTGAATCAAAGCAAAATTACTCTGTAAATCATAGTTGGAATCTTTTTATACAAGATTCCAAATATGCACATGGAGCACCTCATAGAGCAAGCAGAATGGGAGATAGGATTAGAATCAGGTGAAAAGGAGATCAGGTTGGAGCAAATATACAGTGTGTAAAACAATACAAAACTTGTTTCATTTTCTATGTTTACTTTTCTTTTATTGACCAAAGAAAATATGGCGAAAAATAAGAAAAATAAAATTAAACGGGGAAATAAGGTAGTGATCAAAAAGCAAATAAAAAGCAAATTAAATTAAACCTTGGGAATGTAGTTCTGCTCCATGTATGGCCATATCCATACAGCGAATACACCATAGAGCTTGTTTCCAGAGTCCATATTGTTCATCCTTTACCTAGGAATGTCTCAAGATCAGCCTGTGGCCTGAAGTGCCCTGCTGGTCCTTCTCTCCAGAATATGTATTTTCCACTCTAATCCCAGCTCAAGATTTTCCACTTGGGCAATGCATGGTACAGAAAGGAGGAGGAGGCTGAAGTGACCTGTTTGGGGTGGTTATCTGCTCAACCCTAATTGGCCCAACAAGTGAAACCACCTCTTTCTGCCTGACCTCTGGGTTTTCTACCTATTTTGCAGTCCTGGTTTGCCTACAAGAGAGACTTGGAGAACAATTATTATCAACAAACTTTGGGAGACAGTGGAATATGGGAGGCGGGGAGGCTGGCATGCTATAGTCCATGGGGTCACAAACAGGCAGACACAATTTAGTGATGATGAGATAAAAGAATTTAAGGACATTTTATGACCGGGGGTGGAATCTTCACTCAATTCTCATTTTTTTGAAAATAAAATGAACATTTGTATTTAATATCATTTATCAAGGTAAACAAAAAGCATAAAGTGGAAGCAGTAAAGGAGTTAAAAAATTTTCTCTCTCACTTTATTGATATTTTATAAAATAAATACACAATTAACTGACAGCCTGGGGCATGGGTGCCAAACTCGTGGTGTCATGTTGACATCACATGATGTTTTGAGATTCCCTCCCACCCCTTCGTGGAGCTGTGGTCTGCACATGATGCATCTGGCCTGCAGGTTGCCAGTTTGACACCCCTGGTGTCAAAAGAAAATTGTCACCATCTGAATTTCTTCTCTGACTTGATGTTAGAGAAGCCATCTCTTTCACCCTATTTTGTTAAGAATATTAATAATGGGTCTTTATCAGTTTTCTTTTTCATAAATGTCCCTGGATCTTCCTGAGATATAATAGAAATTAAGTATTGCACTGATTTGTTTTTCTCTTATAGCTGGCTGAGGAGAGTAGTATGAACTGGAAAGATACTAAACTTCTCCTGCAAGCCAGTGAGAAATCCCGGAAAATTGTGGAATCCTATTTTACTCCTGGGAAAAATCTCTATTTTTCTTTCACACATCTTGTGTGTCGCACAGCTGCAGATGGTAAGGAGCTCTTAAGTACTTTCTTGAGATGTGCAATGTAAGAGTTCTATGTTTATAATCACAATTTGTAATGCATCTCATTCTAATATGGTTATATGGTATTGCTGGTAAATTTATTGCAAAAACTATCAATCAATTGAAGTTATACGAAAGGAAAATAATGCAGCCTATTCATCTTGGAATGCATGGTGAACATAGATTTGGTTATATAACTTTGGCAAATGCATCTGATGTTTATTAATAAAGCAGTAAATATCAGAAACAAAAACATGTCTAGGGACATTCAAAATATGCCACTTTTTCATGCTTTGGTTTATGAGCAAAATTTCAAATATGAATTCTGATTTTGAGCTGAAAATTAAAAATCCACTGTTTTGTGATATTATGAATTGATTTTAAAGCATCTAAAGAACCATGGTGATACAGTGGCACAGTGATTAGAATGTAGCATTGCAGGCTAACTCACTGCTCACTCCAGGAGTTTGATTTTGAACGGCTCAAAGTTGACTCAACTTTTCATCCTTCTGAAGTCGGTAAAATGAGGACTCAGATTGTTGGGGGCAATAAAGCGGCTGACTCTGTAAATCGCTTAGAGAAGCTGTAAAGCATATAAGTATATAAGTCAAAGTGCTATATATCAAATACAAAGTCCCATAAACTCATATCCACTAAATACACCTTTTTCAATCCAGGAAGAGAAGCTCATACCTATATAAAATAATCTTACATTGTCAGTGTTAGCTGTGTTCTAGATTGGATCCCATTTTTTTATTTGGCGCCAGAACGTCTATTTATTTCGCAACTAGGGTTATTAATAGCATATTCATGAATTCAGTACAATACAGGCTGTGTTGACAAAAATGTGCCACACATAACTATGTATAACATTGTAATTGCAAAACAAATTGGTGAAGAGTGTACAGTTATATATGTTTTATTCTTTTAATTTATAGGATGGGTTTATAGTTTAGTTTTGCAATTGCAGAGGAAGTGAAAAGTTACGGTGCTATTTGAAATTTTCATTCTTTATAAATTTAAAATGTGCTAATTGTACATGCACATGTGTACCAGTGAAGGAAGGCAGGTTCAAAAATAACGATAATGTGGTCGATGAGAACGATGCTTCACAGAACGTATATAGTGAAAAGTAGTCTACATTAAAACAAAGATAAGAAAACTGGATTTTCTGCCATCAAATCCTGAGGTCAAAGGAAAATGTAGAAGAAAGGATTGCTAAACTAATTCTCCATCAAAACACTAAATCCACCACATTGAAATACTTAAGAGCCATGGTGGCACTGTGGTTAGAATGCAGTACTGCAGGCCAGCAGTTTGATTCTGAATGGCTCAAGGTTGACACAGATTTCCATCCTTCTGAGATTGGTAAAATCCCAGATTGTTAGGGGCAACATGTTGACTCTGTAAACTGCTTAGAGAGGGCTGTAAAAGCACTGTGAAGCAGTATATAAGTTTAAGTGCTATTACTATTGCTAATAAAGCAAGAGAGAAATGGAGTAGCAGGAGAGAAACAGCTTCAGCAAAACTAATGGAGGGACGTATTAAGTGCTATATGTGTAAGCCAGATAAAGCAGTCCTATGATAAGCTGGGTCTCTGCTTGAAACTGAGATTTTGCTCTCTCCTAAGTCATCCTGGCTGAAACATTGAGAGGAATTTTGCTGGAGGAGAAATGGAGAGCAATATACATTTTTTAAAGTCTCAAGCCAGTTCCATCCTACTAGAATTAAAATAAAGGCAGTCCTTAACTGATGACCACAGCTGGGACCAGTATTTCTGTTGCTAACAAGGTGGTTACACCCAATTTTATTATCTTTATTACCATAGTTATTAAGCAAATCATTGCAGTTGATTACGTGAATTACATGTTGTTGAGTGACTCCAGCTTTTCCCATTGACTTTGTCAGAAATTGGCAAATGGTGGTAACCCCGGGAAGCTGCATAAACACGTGCATGTCAAATGCCTGAATTTTGATCCCAAAACTGCAGGGATGCTGCAATGGTTATAAATATGCAGGCTGATCATAAGGCACTTTTTTCAGTGCTATAGTAACTTTGAACAATCACTAAATGTAAGCAGGGGTGGGATTCAAATTTTTTAACAACCGGTTCTTTTTTTTAAAAAACAAATTTTATTAATTTTTTAAAGACAAACAAAACATAAGACATAAAAGCACAAAACCTCCTTTCTAAAAGTTACTTATAGGTTTTAACAAGGCAAATAAAACATTATTTTATACAGCATAGTTCCACATTATCACATTTCCATTTAAACACATATATATCTTTTCCAAATTTCTCATTATTTCTCCCTTCACTTTTATTCAATTATATTTCTTTCTATCAAGGTTTTATTAATTC